GGTGACTTGCTGATTTAGCTGCTAATTGCCTCTGCGCAATTAACTTCCAATGCTCATAATCACTGTGATGTCTAAGGTACTTGTAAAATTGATGAATTTGTATGTATGATTTCTCTAAAGTGCAGAAATATTCCAAGTATCATTTTCCCGATGAAAAGCTGGAACAGAGACCATTATCTGTTAATAATGTTCTACATGTTAATTTTGGTAATGGTGTTATTATATTAAGCTTTTCTACAGATCATGGAGTAACAAGTCATCTTCATTCCTTCAAGTCATATAGAACAATGAAGAAAATTATTGAAGGACAGGCACAGTACATTAAAGCAGTCAGAACCCAGTACCCTACTGGTTTTGGTGTAGGGGGAAAAAAGAAGAAGAAAAGAAGAACAAAATTTGTTCATGTTTAGCTCTTGTGGCTGCACAGTTAGATACATTCATTTAGTGCATTTAACTGGAAAATTAGTCTCTGCCTTCAGTCATCTAATCCAAAGTCGCCCTAGAAGTCGGTGATTGAGCCCAGCTGGTTTTAGTCTCACTGTCATGCTCTCTCTGGGCAGAAGCAGCATAGGAATAAAGCAGCACTCTTTGCTTTAGCAGGGTCCATTTCCACCTATATGCTTGTGTTGCCCTCTCGTAGCAGGTTCTCAGTGTATTGCCTTTTCACCAAACACTGAACAAAATGAGTGCAGCTGGTGAGGACCAAGACCTTCAACTTTCTGGGAGCAACCGAGGAAGGTAATGATACAAATATCTTTATATCACTTTTTAAATTACCTCCTTGCCTTTTTAATGTAATTCTCAAGTCATCCCTTAGGATTTGGTATTTATACCATAATATGGACTGTACAGCTGCATATGCTTACAGAAAATATTTTGTTTTCCTCTTTATATGTAAGCTACCATAAAAGTTATGTGATGTTCTTTCTATTTTCTCTCTTCATTACAGCCACAGCAATACATATGTGAGCACATATTTCCAAACAAGACTGTCAGACTGTAGCTTAAAATTTGGCATGCAGTGAAGTGCCTACATGTAGTTCTACCCCTAACAATGGACAAAATGTAACACTGTTCCTAAATTACTGATTTCTGTTAAATGGTGGAATAGAAGCACACTGAGCTAAAGGTCATGACATTTCAAGTTCCAAATTTCTGGATGGTAATGTTGGAAAAAAAGATTTAAATAAGCTACCTACTTCTTGTCAATAAAAGGAACTTAAATACATTCCTCTGTCAGTGGTAGTTAAAGTTGAATGGAAAATAATGAGAAGAAAAATTCTTTCATTTCATTCGTTCTCTTCAATTCATTTCTTTTCATTCAAATATAGACTGTTTCAATGTATCGCTTGATTGGTTTTGCTATTGGTCAAATAATAGCAGTTCTTGCTGTTACAAAGTACTAGCTCTTTGGCCCATAAATTATATTTCTTATCCTCTACTACTCAAATAGTTTGATATATGCCTCATGTCCACTGCTTTTACATTTTGAGAGTAAACTTAAGAAGGCCTTCATTTGGTAGAGCTGGGTAAATTGACCTATACAGATACAAATGTGTGGACAAACCATGTTTCCTGAAAACAACAATATTTCACTTCAATACTTCCAGCTTTATACAGCTCCTGTGAACTCATCCCAGTCTTTGATCTTGAACCACTTGGTGATTTCAGTCGGAAGCAAACATCTTAAATACACTAAGACACTGAAGTTATGTGAAATGGCATCGGGTAGGGAAAGATGTAAGAGATTTCCTGCCAGGAGAGATAGCTATGCCATGAGCATAACTTGTGCTAAGCTCAGAAGAAAAGTGTTTGGGGAAAAGTGCTTAGAAATACCCTCCTCACAGGGTAATCTTCAGAGCTTGCTCTTTCTGAGAAACTAAATTACCTTGGAGATAGAAATCTGTAGGAAACCTAGCTTTAGTTTCCGTCTGCACCAACTTGTTTCTAAGAACAACATTTTTACAGAAGAGGAATATGCCCAAAGGCAAACTGAAAACTGAACACAAGCCAAATATGACAATATTCCTCTTCATTAAATTAGCTGATGCTGAGTGATTAGTACTATTGTTCAGCTCAGCTGTTAACTCTTAGCTGATTTCCTAGTGCTTAATTCCCAGATAATTTCAAAGAGATTTATGCATGAACTGAGAGTTAGACATAGACTTAAATGTGGTACTGACACAAGCATTGTATAAGTGTATATTTAATGTAAAATATTGTGAATCCAGGCTTCAGCAACATCCTTAAGCATTCTGAAGTTGAAGGGATTACTCACATTCCTACAGATCCCCACAGCCTTGAGCACCATGTTGAATTATAATGTAGTAAAGGATCAGTAAGAATATTCTCTAGATTTGTGGAGTGGGTTGAACCACTGAATTCTGTCAGTGTTGAAAGAAGCCTCAATCAGTTAGTTATTTCTCATCTGCATCTGGCTTGGCAACCAGTCAAAAAGAACAACAGCACTCACTTCTTATTCATGTATTATGCACAATTTTGCTTTGAATACCTTGTTTATTCTAACACAAAGGCTGAATTTTAATTTCACTTTTGGTACTACATCAGTGGCTAAATGTGAGAATTGAGGGTACCTCACAGTTATTGAGCCACAGATCAATAGACAAAAAGTTTTTAAATGGCTTTGAAATGTCTGCATTGATAAAACTATATCCATTATTCTTCTTTCTGCTACTGGGCAGAAATAATAAATATTTTAAGGACCTCAAAATAGATGAAAGTAGTAATATTGACTAAGCAGAAATTGTTTGCCAGGAGATTAGGCCTTAGTTGGAAGGATTTAAATATGCTTGGCATGTCAAAGCAATGTGACAAGTCAGTGTTTTCATAATGTTCTGCGTCTACCTCATAACTTGTTGTGAAAGGATGATGGCTGTTGCCAGCTTGCTTTGTTCTTAATAATATTTTTAAAGATAAGAAAGTGAAATGGCTCCATTTCAGGAATTAAGTCATTTCCTTGTGCCAAAATACTGACAAGCAGTCTTGGTGCGGGAAGATAAATTAGAGCTCTGACTCCTGCATCACAAAAAAGAAATCAACATTGCTTGAAAGGAGCCTTGCTGTTAGAGCTGAAGTTACTTCTTTTAACGTTGCAGATGTGAATGTCAAGTGAGTTTTCTATGTGAATTTTTGTAATATGAAATGGAACAGACTGTTGAACTCAGGCAATTTTAAAAGTCAAGGATAATTTTAGGGAAGGGGAAGTCAGAAGAATTAGCGAGTGGAACACACAAATCTCAGTCAAATTATAGCATCAGCTGTATAGCACTATTTGCTGCCCACATCTAATGGTGTATTTGCTTTGTTGTCTTTGTCACTGTCATTGATTCTTTCAGCTCCCTCAAAACTGCACTTGCAATGCCTTCCTCTCCCTTCATGCTGACAGTACCTAAACCCCTAGTGAATAGTTCTTCATGGAGCTCCATTCTAATACAAAAAGTCCTCTTTCCTATGGGTACAAAATAGAAAAATTCCCACTCAGAGACTTTTCCAGCACAGAAACAGCAGCAGACTCCTCCCAGTACACCTGACAGTAAGTATGAAATGGATGATGTCCATCTGGGTCTTCCTCTGCTCTTCTTTCTTTGCCTGTACTTCTGCTTGGCTGCCTGAGTACATTCCATTCATCTGGGACTGGGAACTCTTTAAGCAGAGAGTGTTTATTTTGAAACTCCTGTGAACACTGTAATGCTTGATGTGTGATTGATGATTCCAGGCTGTGGGGTGAGGCTGTATTGACCTGCCTTACCTGCTGCCTCGTGAAGGAAGTGGCAATAAAGGTCACAACTGAGATAAGAAGTAAAACTATTTATTACAGATGACTCAGGCAAATAGGAAAACCAGCTGTCAGCCCTTCAGAAAAGAAGTCACTGCAAATCTTCACATCCTCACCTTACAAGGATTCTTCCACCACCTGTTACAGGCCTGCCTCTTTGCATCACTTTGCACACCCTGGTCTGTTTCAGCTAAGAGTAGTTCTTCAAACTGAACATGCTCCTGAGCAGACATGGCTGAGACCATGGAGTTAATTTATTTACAAAAATGCATGTTGGAAATTGGGCAGTGTCGTGCTTTGCTTTGCCAGTTTAAACACAGGTACAACAGACAACGAAAGAGGAAGCACTTTTGTTGGAAAATCATATATTAAATGGTTCTTTAGCAAAAAAGTGCTATAATTCCTACCATAGCTTAGGGGAAGGAAAAAAAAAAACAACAATAGAAGCATATAAATATATCCTATATACACAAACAGTACAACACAGATGTCTTGTAAGCAGGGATTAGTAGCAGGACACTGTTATAGAAACAGCACATATTTTCCCTTGGGAAACTTAAACCCCCACAAATGTAGTCCATTCAAGACCACAGAGAAACAATGTGCTGCTTATGCTCATTTCCTTTCCCTCTTGCTGAGACTGACATTTTACAAACCAGGCTCCTGTGCATTTCACACTCTGTTTAAAAACTACAAAATCCTTGGATCAGCATCCTTCTGTCCATTAAAAAAAAAAAAACAACTAAATGCATTCCTCTCCACCTTTATATTGTTATATTTCCCTTCATTAAACTGGACAACATGAAGTTATTTTCACTCTTCACCGCAGGACAATAATTGATGGAGTAGTTTTAGCAGAAAAACACAAGAGATTAATCTTAAACTAGTTTAATTGAAGCAGTTCCATGACAACAACTGGAGACATAGCTTCTGGGAAATGCAGATGCAAACTCAGACTGGAATATAAGATTTAGTGACACCAATGAGTTGCAGCTGCTGCATACTACTACATCTAGCAACATCTTTTTAGATCAGAGTCAGACTGAGCCCTAAGATAAGTAGCCATCCATTTGCTTTATGGCAAACTGCAACTGGACATTAGGTGGCAACTGAATTCTTCACCCCTCAACTCACATTTTCTTATTTGTCATTTTAACAGTGATTCCTGTGCAGGTCAGGTGCCCTTTCCCCTCTCATACACTACCTGTGATTGCCAGCTGAGTAACAAAGTAGGTCATTCGAGATTTCCTCTTCCTTCTCCAGGTAGAGAAGAGCACAATGGCATTTCCAGAAATTGTGACAATAAAGAGAATCCAAAGAGTCACCAGCTGCTCTGTCTGCAATGGAAAGAAGGGAAAAAAGCATATTGATGGACAGTCACTTATCCTCAGACAAATGAGATGAGAATGGAAAACAGGAGTGAAATTTGAGTTTTGCCAATTGATTTAAACTATTTAGTCTAAAGACATTCTTGTTTTTTTTCAGAAAATACTTAACATGCATCACTGCTAGTGATGTTCTTTCCAGTTTGGTTTGCAGGGGCTGTATATTACTTCTCTCTTCACAAAACCACTAACAGTGTCTGTATTCTGCACTTAGTGCTAAAATGAGAGGCAGCTCTCGGCTTTCTTGTGCTGCTCCAGCAAGCTGTGAAATAACCAGCTGCCTCACTTCATAAGGAATGTTGATAGATGGGCTCCTTTGGAGAAATGGAGGAAATAAATACTTCTCTCTTCCCCAACTTCAGTGAGTCTGGGTCATTCATGAGCCCTAATGAAATTCAACATCCACTCCACGATCTAGATGTGCACCAAGACTGAAAAGGAAGCATGACCCACTAAAGAAAAGTATACTTGTGTAGCGACTGAAACGTGATGACAAAACGTCCCCTAGTGGTGTGTGTACAAAGAAAACAAGGTAAGAAAGCTGTTCCTGCTCTCGAAGCACCGGGATGTTCTGGCTGCAGGATCGACACCGCATGTGTGTGTCCACGTTTGGTTGTTTGGTGAGTGCACAGCCAATCTTTATATCCTAGCAACTGTTTTAGGTTTTGTCAATGCAGTAGTTTGGGATCTTTCCATTCAAAACAGCAAATCCACAACATGGGAGTTAGAGGAAGATGGAGGAGGCAGGTGAGGGCTGCAGCTGAGGAGGGGCGCCAGGTGCTGGCCCTACAGACGTGGCCTCAGCAGGCTGGGGGAAAGATGCTGTCAGTAGTACCCCATCTACATGATTAGGCTGATAGAAGAGCAAAAACCAGGGAGAACACTCATTAAAGGCATTTGTAAGCCACTACGATGAGCAGAACCCAGAGCTCCTTCTGCTTTAAAAGAAAATAGTTCACTATGAGAGTGGGGAGGGAAGGTGCAATGAAATGAATGGAGCAGGGACATGGAGCTTCCTGCTTTATAATTAGCCTTAGTGCCTTCTCAGCACTTAGCCCCACTCCTGGCCAGCAGTCATTGTCCCTCCTTGACCCTCCCATTGCCCCTCAGAGCAGCCTCTCCTGGGAACCAGACTCAGCTTTGCTCCAGGTAGGGACCCACACTACCTCGTGGATCACAGGGTCACGCAGGGAAAGCACGACCTGATGAGGGGAAATTTGATGTTGCACTCTGTGCCTGAGCCTAGAGATAGTTTAAGCAAACAATGAAGGCTGTGTAGAGGGAATTTCACTTTTCCCAGCATGATGATTTTCACCAACACAGTGTCATCTCTGCTAACTTTGAAGTTCCAAAGAGACACAACTGTTCTAAATTGTCTTAGTATTGTCTAGGTAATAGCAGTGTCTCAGAGATGAGTCACCACTCATCTCACCTACCTTGGGATGATTTGTCTCCACTGAGTATAGAGTGACCTAGATGAGACAACCTGTGTGGGCTAGATTCTTGGCCTTTAGATTAAAAAAAAAAAAATCTATCTTTTTGGGTTACCTGCAAATCTCTTTAATTTATTGGAAACAAATTTCCTTAAATATGTGTGGCAGAGATATGGTGAAACTGTTTTTATGGGGACGCTTTTCTTAGCACAGGAATTGGAAGGAAATATCTTTTTGGAAGACAATAAAATCATAAAAGATAAGATTTCACATTGCTTTTGTCCTTGAAATCAATGATTTCTCCTCGGGGTTTGTTTTGGTTTTTCCATTTCAGAAAACATATTTCTCACATGAAGAAAACTAAGGGACTAGACTTGTTCCCGTTTTCTTTGGTATAAAATCAGAAGAGCATTTTCTTAAAAGGAATTATATTCCTGTATTATACTGATATAGATAGGAACAGAAGAAGGATCTGATACTCACACCTTCTTATGTTTCCCACAGAAGAATTAGCTATGGAGCATCAGAGGCTGTGTTAGAAGGATAAGAGCACAGTACAAATTGTCAGATTAAATCCCCTCTGCCAATTTAAAAGCAATGCCTAACAATTAAGCAATGTTAGACTCCAGACATTAAACCAGACTGCAAAGATAGCTTAAAAATGCAAACACTGAAAATAGAGGTAACTCTGGAAGGGCCGTAGACAAAGAAATAAAGCCAAAATTTCTATTAATCTATTTGTGGGAGCTGACATTCTGACTAAAAGGAAAAAGATCTCATTCCTGAGGATTAAGGAGTTGTAACAATAGGAAACTTAAATCACTGCAGCCTCTCTCAGTCTGTGTTAACTTGCAGAATGAAAACTTGCATAGTTATTAATGGGATGCCCACTGTGATAAAGGCCTTTGCAGAGGCCAGGATTGGAATTCAAAGTTATCTTCATGAATTGGAAACGTGTACTGGGAAAAAAAAGCAACATGCTGTCCAACAAGGAGAAGTGCAGGGCTGCAGTGTAGTGTGTAATCTCACTTGGTCGGACCTGCCTTCCAAACATCAACCCTCACACGCAGCACACGTGCAAAGTGCCCCAGAACGTCATGGAATCACCCTACCATGGGAGCAACAGCCACCATCACTTTGGGATCAACACCAGGCTCATGTGCCTCTGCTGCATCTTCCCACTGGGCCGTGCCCACTCCTGGGCACAGTGCTTCAAGAGAGACACACAAACGAGTTGACATAAAGGACGTAGTCAGGCAAAACGACTGAATGAATCAAGTTGCTAAATCCAGGAAAAGCCGACTGCAGGAAAAGATGAACATAGCCTCGAGGACATAAAAAGACTAATGTAAAAAAGTAAAGCACTAATCTCTTCTTTAGATCCACTGTGGACTGGACAAAAAATCAAAACTACGGTACAGAATTCAGGATGAAAATTTAAAAAGAAAAAGAAGGCTTTCAAATATATCATAGATAGAGAGATTGATTGAGCCAGTGAAGCCGTCTGTGAAGCCTTTAAAAATAGTTATTAGATTAGAGAGATAGCTGATGGGTTTTTGAATCTCACTCCAGCTGAACTTTCTTTAGTTTTATTCATCATCTTCATTTTGTTTTGACATAAAAGTGTTTAGTTTCATGTCTTGTTCATTCATCAAACAAAAATCCTTTCTTAATAACAGTCCTGGACAAGGTAATTTACAAAAAACATGCCTCAATAATATGTTGTGCAAACATCAGAAGCATTCTGATAAAAAGGAAGATAATAATATCTCCCAAACCTCTTTTGACAAGGGCTTCTTTTGAAATGGGCATTAATAATTGCAGTAGATGAGAATGCCATGAGAGACTAGTGTCACAGAGCAGTTATTTCAGGTTAGAAAAGCTAGAGATGCTGTTGACATTATTAAGGTCACCAACAAATGAAAGTCAAGAGGATTTCCTTGGTTTGACTCGAGCCATTGCACATGTTGCTGTTCCACAAGGCTGCCATTTTTGCAGCATGGAAGTGCTCAACATCCAGAGAGCATATTCAGGTTTTGCTATGTTGCTCCAAGATTAAAGCCAGGTTTAGTCAATTAAGAAAATGCCTCTTCATGGGTGAAATGGAAGCCAGAAAACCTGTCTGAAGACTGTGTGCATTTTCCTTTGGCTGTAAAAAAGGCTTATCATTTTCTTTCTCTAATTAAATTTCTAAATCCAGAGGCTGGAATAAGTCTAACAAGAGGTGTATTCTGCTTTATATTTGAGGCAGAGATCACTCCTGCAAACCCCTTTAATCAAGACCATATTTAAATCCTTTTGGAGATGTTGGGTGGCATTTTGGTACCACAATGCCATCCCTCCTTCCAGTTCTCCCCAGCCAACTTCCTTGCTCTATCTTCCCTCAGGATTTGTATCCCTCTTGCTGGGGAGCCCCAGCTGTGACTGTGGAATGGGGATATACCTGATAGCCCAGTCCAATGGAGGGGCTGTTCCTCATGTCTTGAGGTGCAAAAGCCTTTGTCTTATATTAGAGAAGTTGCCTAATAGAAAGAGAGGTTCAACTAGCAATGGGCAAAGATTATTTGTACTTGGACAGGGACCCTGTCTAAAACTGTTTAGCTCTAGCTGCTGAGGCTGCTCTGGAAAAAATTACTTTCAGGTAAGAAATGGGCAAATAGAAAAAGAGAGGGAGAGATACTCCATGCCTGGAGTGGCTGACTGGCCTCTTAATATGAGCACTGCAGGCCTGTGGTAACTTCTTGGTCCTGCTGACCTGGCATCTTTCTGCACCATCTTCTTGATCTTCTGGGTGAAGAAGAGGAATGATCCCTCATATCACAAGCCAGTAGCAGCTTAAGTCTCTGAACAGCTTTTTCTTGACAGTTGATAAACTCTGGGAATACACAAATGATCTTGCCTTTGGTATATTTTAAAAATTATGGGGTTAGCTTAGCAGCAATTGAGATTGTAAGAGAGCTATAATCATGAAGCAAGCCAAGCAATTTTGCAAGAGTGCTCTTAACATATAAGAAGAATATATAAATCCCCTTGTTAAATTGGGTAACTGTCATGCTCGTGGTCAAGTTCACCACTAGTAGATTGCATTGCACTTTCTTGAAGGAGGGAAAAGAAGAGAAAAATCTTTTTTCATTCTCTAAAATAATCACATTAATTGCAGACCATGCAGAAAAATGGAGCAGTCTAGATTAGCAATTTTTTTTTCATCCCACTGTAGAAGATTTGGAATCTTGAACATTGCAAACTGAAAATGTTCAGGATGGATTTGCTATTTTAACATCCCCCATTTAGGATGGAAATTTAAAACCCTTAAAAAAACACCAAAAAAAAAAACCAAAAACCAAAAATAAACCAAAGACCCCCCAAAAAACCCAAAAAACCAGGAGAATTAATTTTCCAGAGGCAGACAGGTGCCATGCAGCTTGACTGATTTCTGTCAGGGATTTATAATCAGCTTATCTCTAAGGCAAATTGCGCTTTGGACTGCTACACTGAAGGGAATAAAAGAAATACACCCAT